GATACTCGATAAAAATCCTGCCTAAACTAGAGTCGAATTCGTGTCTTCTAAGTGTAATGGCAAAGCGCCTAAGGGCCCACATAGACATAGCGATAAATTCTATACAAGAGTTAAATAGAGAAAACAAAGAAGACGGAGAAGTCATTTTTTAAGACAAATATCATAATATAATAATATAGTGAAAAAAAGTAGTGACAGAACGCTTTCAGGTGAGAAAAAAGTAGACAAGAAGGAAATCTGCTTTATGTAAACTAAAGATAAAAAATTCCCTCTCCATGATTTTAATCAAAACATAGAAAGTTTATGTCTACGTAGATTCCAGATTTATTTCCTTTTCCAAAGCATTGCCTTGTTGATTTTCAGACTTGTTCAGTAGAAAAACAGGAATTTGGATTTATGATGCACGCGTAAACATTTTCAGCTAGGAAGTATATTAACCTTTAACTGTTATGCATAATGATATTTTTAATATCATGCATCTCATTCATTGGGTCGTACAGGGATTCTCAAACCGACATGTTTAAACCGTTGACCTTAACATGAATTCAAACTAAATGTTTAAACACAAATGCATGAGCCATGCAATTTTAACGAAAGCCCGAAAAAGCCGATTGGTTGTCTGTGAAAGCCCCAGAAAGCTGATTGGTTGACCTTCCAAGCTCCAGGAACTGATGTCTACTTCTGACTTACACCTGATTTAAAGTCCCCCCCTCAACAGCAAGTGAAATTTTAAGGTCGCTTAAATCACAAAGAGGAAACCCGTAACTTTTGAAGAACGTTGCGGACATAAAGTCAAAACAGCAGATACCAAAACGCTAAGTTGTGGTACATTCATAGTATTCACTTTGTTGCCTGCCTTATTACGTTTCAGATAAGGTTAACATGATTAAAAATCTGTATGGTATGAGTAACGAAGTTGTGCTTGTTTTTGAAAGTGACGAAAACAACGCTTCTTCAAGCATTGAAGAATGACCATAATGTGTGTGTGTGTGTGTGTGTGTGTGTGTGTGTGTGTGTGTGTGTGTGTGT